AAGGCAAGATACAGATATGAGGTAGCTGCAGGAGATGTGAAGTTGTATGTATAAGAAAGATCAGTTTGAGCTCACAGCTAATCTAAGAATGCATCATTTCAACAAGGATGGGATTCTAACCCACATGCGCAGAGCACAATGCAACTATAAACACACGGCTTCATTAAGGAAACTTTCATCATGTGATTATTAGTGGATTAATCAAAAATAACAGATTAATCGATTTGCAAAATAATCGTTAGTTGCAGCCCTTCTCCGTTTAATCATTAGTACATCCATTAAAATATCTTTCTTAATGTAATGCAACAAAACTGTTCATAGTAATTCCTACATACATTAATTTAAAATAGAAGTTTATACTAAATAACTAAATATTGATTTATAGTAACTTTTAATCCCCAGGAGATTTACAGATGACGTTTCAAGGTGTACTTCCCATTTTAAATTATCTTTAAACTACTTTCTGAGACAAAATAGTTTTGGAAAGTGACCAACTGACTGGCTGAGATTATGGCCTGTGGCTTGTGAGGGGTAATAGAAAAGGAGCCAATGTTTTAATAACTTCAGTCTGTATCAGCAATTCTTTTGCATTCTCTCTATTTTGCAGAGCCACAGCCCAAAACAATCTTTGATATTAAATTGCATCACATCTGGCTCTGCTATGCTGTTACAGCTTAAGCTATTTGTGGCGTAACCTCTGTACAACATTGTGGTACTTTTACATCAGCTGTCACTTAGGCTTATTGTTAATCAGAAAAGTATAACGTGCTTTCTTCTGCTAAATATTTTTGGGACAGTAAAGTCCCGATATGACTCCAAGAAATAAATTAAACTATAATTGCTTACATTCTCTTAAAATCCACACTCAAAAACATCCCAAATCTGGATAAACAACTTCATCAGAAAAACCACTGCTGTGAAATTAATCCAAATATGGTTTGACTCACAAAAAATTGTTCTTTGTGATGAAAAGTTGGAGAAGAAATTAGGTAAGCATGAGTGCTCTGTCCTTTCTACTCCCCTATATTACCAATGGAAACAGTGTACTATTTATCAAACAATGCTCCTCATGGTTATTCAAATGGACCCAACAAGAACTAATAGCTGCTGAATCAGTACCAACCAGCAGCCATTTGTAATGTAAGGCCATATTGGATGCCGCGATCTTGGCTGTGCAATGATGTCCAACGACCTGCAAGGTGATAAAAATGTTCCCCTGCAATTACATGTTAACCGCAATTTCCTGGAATTCCCCAGAGATCATAAATCAGGGCTGGGTTTTTCAGCTAAACCGTTTGTGTTAATATAACATCCAGAGCAAATGACCCTTCAAATCAACATCTGTGCTCCATATTGGGGAGACTTTCCTATTAACACCAAGGGCTGGACACCACATGGGAAAGGTGATCTTGAATTAGAACTGACTTTACAAAATGGGGAAAAACAACACAAAAGGTTCCTCTGCTGCTATAGGAGCAGGCTGGATTTTGTTGCTAAATATGTTTGGTTTTACTTTTTTTTTGGTTGGTTGCAGGAGTTAATGTGGTACAGTAACTATTTGCTCCCTAACACAACCTGTTAAAATAAGCAATGTTAATTCTGTTTATGTTGAGGAATGAAGCCTGGTACAGCGAAGTTGTAAATTGAGGATGTGTTACTCCAGTTATAAAAACAAAAGCAGTCCCCTTTGCTGGCGGAAGTGTGCATTTAGAACCACATCTTCTGAGAGGATCCACTAATAAAAGGATAAAGGGTAAAAAGATACATTTGGAAAATATATGGAAGATATTAAAAGTGAAAATCAAACTAGATATAATCGAAATACCAACTGGTTTTGGGGGTTGGTGAATACACCAATAGGATGTATATGCTGCAAATCCTTGTGTTGATTACTCAAAAACCCAAGACAATGAGTTGGCTTAGAACAAAACCACTATCTGGATGGATTTAGACACTAAGCTAGAACTGTAGGGATAGTACAACACGTAACCACAAAAGGATGCATAAATCAATATTAATTTACAAGAGAACACTTCTCTACTGAGGTGTTTCTTATTCTCTGTTCAGTCCAGTTTCTCTCTGTTTACAGGCAAATGGTGGTAATGTTTATGTATATAGCATGTTGTGTTGTACTAATTGTCAAGGTTTTTAGCCTTCTTCTCTCATTCTCCCTTATCTATTTATCCTCTCCACCTGTTTATTCACATCTGCTCTAGGCAGCATTAAGGGGTCTTTGATTTTTTTTTTTTTTAGATCTGATTTCCCGAGACAGTATGCCACCCTCCAATTGTATTCATCCCTCTTCAGTACAGCTTTAAGCAGAGGGTTTTGTATCTATCTTCTAACGAAAAAGATATACTACATTTTTATTTGAATCAAATCAACAACTTCTTTAAATGTTTTCTCAAATAAAGCTTAATTTATAATTGAGTTAGATTTGCACCTAGATTACAGCTCACTAGATGAATGCCGTCTCATAATATCAAAAATGTTAGCTTATAGACACTCCTCATGTGCTAAACACCCTTTTCTGTCCCGACTGACATCATGAAGAATTTGACGCCTCACCATCTGTGTTTCCTCACAAACATCCTCTCTCTGGATAATTCCTTTTACTACTTAAACTCTTTTTTTTTCTACAGTAATCCCAAAGGTCAAGTTTGTTGCAACAGGGGGGGAGGAATGCATGAAGTTCTGCTTTAGTGCTCAGCTTTAACAGATGTTCTGCAAAGAACAGACTTTTGGAGATAAATGCAGCTTATCACATAAAAAGTTCCCAGTGGGATGGGTGTCCCATTTGTTAAGAACATGTTACAGGAGAGTCGATTTTCATTTCATGGAACTGGGAATCCATCATAGTGTGACAGAGGAGACGGTCCCACAGTGTATCCTATATACTGTATGATAGACCTCCAATCCTTGTCAGACTGGATGATCTTTTTCTTGGCTGTAGCCTTCAGTTAGTAGTGAGAGAGCATATTAGTTAGATCACTGCCTACTTTCAAACATTCCTCTGCAGGAATTTTACTAATTAATACACTGCACCATCAAAAAGGTTTTAAATACAGTACAATAAAAATATAGAACTGAAGTACAGTATCCATTCTTGCCCCACAGTGAGGAATTACAGATTTATCAGTGGCAAGGTTTGACAAGTAATACAGAGAACATTATTTTTACACATGGCACACTCAACTTGAAAGTGTACAAGAGGTGCACGTAATATCTATGCATAAAAAAACTGTGACTATTTACAAAAAACAGAGAAATCGTGTGGATAGCAGCAGAAATGTATACAACTACTGGAGCTTGCATGAAGCAGTGTTAGTAATAAAGGCTGCTTCTGAATAGTGCAAAGGACACTTAAGCCGAAGCCTACATTTTTCAGCAGTGGACATAACGTGCTGTCTGAATGGTTCTGGCAGTAAGGAAAAAGGTAAGATAAGAAAGCAGGATGCTTTTTATCAATATTTTAACAAGGCTTTGCATGACCAGGTGTATAGGCACAGCCCAAGTCTTGAAGTCTAACAAACACGGTTTTGTGAAGTCCTTTTCTTAAAGGCTGTGTTCCTAATTTGACAAGCATCACCAATGTGTGTTTCCTTCACATACTGACTGGCTGTCTGGATTAAGCACAGCAGTCCAGAGCCTTTCTCCCAGCCTGGATACTGTGTGAGTGTGTGGGTGTGGTGGGGGGTGTGACTGTGTTACTTTACCTCTGATTGCAGGTTTCGATCAGCAGTGGCTTCCTCACAGCTGGAGCTCGTCAAATCCAATCAGGTGGAGCTTATAGAGTTGCACATTCCCTGAGGCAGATGCCAGATTGTTTCACTCCAAGAGTCTCAATCAGACCTAAAAATGCATGGTTCCTGCATTCTTTGATGTTCCATGCTTGTGTTTTTTTCCATCTCTCCAGGCACTAATTCTTATTTATTTATTTTTTTATTTATTTTTTTGATGACACCAGAAAGATTATCTTCCTCATTGGCATCCTGTGGGACATAGATCTCAGGTGGGTAGAAACTTAAAAACACTGACAAAAAAGGATCTGCTGGATCAAAAACTGACAAAGTAAAAAAAGGATATACCCCAATTATTGGACAAAAAACCCAAGCTAGATAAAAGAACTAAAAAGAAAGGTGTGACTGAAAGTTACATATTAAAACTTAATCACCACCCAAAATAATCAAATTATAAAAACAAAGTGATGTGTTGAAAACACCAGGACCATTAAATCACATTTTGTGTCATGATCTTGGCACTTAAGACTGGATTATTGGTTCATTCCTTCCACCTGCATAGCTCCACCCAGTTTTCATCTGCCCTTATCTGATCCACCTGTTCCAACTCCTATTTATCCTGCCTGTTTCCAGCATCAGTGCCAGATTATTCAAGCTGTGTGTCAGAGTACCTCTAGCATTGCTCTGTGTTTCTGATTACCTGATCCTGACAAGTTCCTGCCTCTGGACTTCCAAATTTTGTTTGACCCAGTTCTGCTCTGTTTGTCTGATCTGTTTTAGGATCTGTTTCATGGATTCTGCCTGCTAACAACCTTGTATCTGTCCCCTGAGCCCGGCATGGATTCTCCTTCGGTACCTCTGCGGATCCCTTATCTGATTTATTTTTCATTGACCTAGAAATAGAAATAATGGATCTGTTTTGATTCAAAGTATTGACCGATGTCTGTATCCAGAAATATATATATTGATACATTTTTATAACCAATTTTTTAAATTATAACAAAAAAATTTAATTTCAAACTTTGTGGCTCAAAATCACTTTTTGTGTCTTGTCTTTTATATCTCGCTTGCAAGGTTGATAAAAATGTATATGTAGACTATGTGTTGCAAAGAAGAGCAACATAGCAACATGTGCACAATAGTATAATAAAACTGTAAACTCGAAATTAGTTATGTTAGAAGTCCTGCTTTGTTTTCAGCCTGCTGCTGACACAGCCTGCTGTGAATCATGCTCTGCCCACTCACTAAGGTTCTCTCAGTGTTAAAATAAAGATCGGGCTTTCGCACTTGTCATTCCTTTGCTAATTCTAGATCACCCTAACACTTCTAATTACTCAAGCATTCATCCTATTCATGTAGTCTTCCTTGTGTCCACTTTTACAGCAGAGACAGCCAGGAACGCCAGGAGAGTGTCCTCATTATAGAAGAAACGTCGCCAAGGGAATACTCCTTCACCACAAGTTTGGTAGCTGCATTTCTTGGAGAGATACAATCAACTGCGGAGAGTCCCCATGGGGTAAGCACTGAGGCCGAGTTATGTGACTGAGTGTGGGAAGAAAAGTGTAATATCTTTCACCTGAATGACTCCACTATACAAAACGCCCTGGGTTTGTCATTCACCGTCCCAAGACCCCCTTGTATTCAGTGAAAGGGGCCCGCAGGGATCTCGTGCTAATGAGGCAGCAGGCATTTCTTTGGCTCATTACAAACCAGTGTGTGTGCAGCTTTTTTTCTTCTCTATAAGCTACAGCCGCTACCAGCTGCTATTTTTTAGAGTGAAAAGGATTCACAATTAATGATGCAATTATGCTAATAGGGTTGCCAGGCTACTTGCTGGCCTTTGCTGCTAAGTATCCTGTTCCAGAATAGCAGAGTAAAACAATTGTTGCGCAGTTGCGCAGTATCCTGAGATACTTAATATTTCCTCTGCAGTGCTGTAATGATTCATGAGAAGTATTAAAACATATAAGCATTTTAGAGTATTTAATGCTCTTTTCAGGAAATTAAGAATTCTTGTTTGGATTTTATTTTCTTTATAACAAGCTAAGACTAAGACCAAAAATTAATCAAACTTACATAACATATGGTTGACTGTTTACAAAGCCATGTAAGTAGATCTTCTACAAAAGATAAAACCTACATTTACAACCAACAAACTTCTGCCTTTATTCAACACATAGAGACATATACTGTATAATGCATAAAAATATGTATTCCCATGAGGCTTATTGATTCAGTTCAATTTAAAAATTCTTTATTAGTCCCAAAGGGAAAGTAATTGTTGTAGTAACTTATAAATTATCATAGTGATTAGATTATAAATACTGATCTACATCTTTTCCTCTTTTTTTCTCAGGGCCTAGCTCCCCAGGCGGATGATAACATGCCCTCCATACCTTGGTCCTTTTGAGTTTTTGGCTCCTGGTCTGGGCTGGTGCCAGTGAGGCGTGTTGGCCTGGTAGCCACAGATTGCAATGTGGCTTAGTCCTTAGTTCCCTTAGTCCTTAGTTCCCTTGTGCCATATTGGCCTGGGGGCAACTGCTCCTGTGCATCACTGATGATCTACCTCTCTGTGGGGCGTCTGGCTGCCCTAGGGTCATGATTCGTGTTTGTCTGCCATGGACTGCTGCGACCAGGTCAGGCATTCAGGTTCTATGTTCCTCAGCTGTGAATCAAACTCAATTAAATGTGCAGAAACTGATGACTCCTTTCAATCAGAATTAAAGCACTTTTCTCTTTTCTTTTACAGCACCTTATGATTAAAACATCTAACTAATGAACTATTAGGAACACCTCTGACTTTTATATTTTTAATAACTGTATTTCGAAGTATTTCATTTTCTGCATTGCTTTTATGCTTTGTTATTTTCTCTTTATCTGTCCATTGTGTTTCTGTGAAACACTTTGGATCATCCGATGTATAAGTGACAGAATATATATAAATGTACCTCACTCACAGATCCAAAATGGGATGCCCGTCTATAAGAATAAATGTAGATTATCAAACATAGTGGTCATGACAACAACAAGCACAATTATTCCAGTTCAATGGGTTTAGGATATCCAGGTTTGGAATTTGTCAATGATCAGATATTTTCAATTCTTGCACACAGCTACAGCTCAAACTGTACAACAAAGCCACAGGGTTTAAAAGTTCACAAATCACGATGCATGTCCTTGCACTGTACGGCCCAATGCCTTGATGCAATTTGCCTGCTCACACTGCACGTATAAAACACGTCGGACTCAGCTGAGAGAGATGGCGCAGGTCAGACTCGTCAATCTGGAAGAAGAAGAACTCCCTTGTTTGCACATGTGCAGTGCTTGAAGTTCTGGTAAATCAGCTAATAGACACTCCTAGCCCAGCATAAACAGCAGGATTTGCCCACGTACACCTTAAGACGGCCAGCTGAATTTCAACCATATTTGATTTTTTCCCGACCTTACAAATTGTGAGAGGCTAATTGCCCCTCATTGCCCCCTGTATACTACACTACCCAGGGCGCAGAATGAGGCTGAGCCTCGGCCCGATTGAAAAATTCTTGTATGACTGAAGAATTGGCGCAAAAAGGGGAAAAAATTTGTCAAGTGTTTAGCCGGCTTAAAGTAAAAATTAAAATATAATAGCAACCGCTTTCTCCCCAAAAGGACGGATTAAGAAGAAAAAACAGACATTGTGGAAAAAATGTCTATAGTAGTGCAGAATAAAACTATTGCTTCTCCTGAAAATTATATTTAGTATATCAACAACCGTTTTGTATATAAATACTTACTTTTGGCTATGATTTTAAAAGTTGACACAAAAGGATATAGCTGAGAAAGGGATTCCTTTCTGCATTTTATTTTTCAGATTCAAGTAAAACACTGCATGAAAAGTGGGATTTTCGTCAATATGCGGCACTGTAGATTGTCGTGGAACTTCAGGTTAGCGGCAGTTTACGACAATTTGCAGGCTTCGCCGAAAACTCCCGTAAATTGTCAGAAATTGACGTGGACTTTCTTAGGCAGTGTTCCCCCCATGCCTGCCCCCCATGGAATTCTAGGGGAGGCTTTAACATGTAAATGAACATGCTTTGAGCTATACAAATGCAAATCAGGGTTGCAGGGGGGGTTTTACTCCAAGTGACATTTTTCTAAAAGGTAAGAAAATCTCTGATACAAAGAGATCAGGCTCAGTATAGCCTCTTACAATTTAGCTTGAATTGATTTATTTAATTAAAGTATAGAGACCAAAACAGATCTTTAGCTGACAGAGCAATACATTTAGAGCAGTAATTATAAAAAAAAAATTGCATTTAAGATAAAAAATAAAATGTCTGTCAATATGCTCAATTCACAATTACTTAAGTGGAAAAGTTTCAAGAAATGAGTCTGAGATGATTCACTTTATAACATGGCGCATTATCCTGTTGGAAGTAACCATCAGAAGATTGGTACACTGTGGTCATAAGGTCCGGCCAGGTCAAGATCCGCAATTGCAATCGCACCAAACAGGAAAAAGAGCATCGACAAATTCCAGTTCGTCAAATTAAAATATAGCAGCAACAGATCAGTGACTAGAAATTATAGCACAATTCTTATATATTAAAAAAAAAACTAACACCGTTTATTTAAATGATTGGATCCAAACTATTGGTTATTCACCAACGAGGAAGCAGATTTCTCATCTCCATCAAAATATTTATTTTGATGGAGATGAGAGATGAGGACTTAAACTTTAATCAAATCCATTCAAAAGAAACTTCTTATTACAGGAATGAAAAGAGATGCTGAGTTTGGGAGTAGTGAACAAGTTCATTCAAAAAAAGCAGTTTTGAATTATCCTTATCCCCGTTACAAAAATCTACAAAAATATATATATATATTTGGGCAGAAACTGAACATATGCTGGATGATGGTGGGATTTTTTTAATATGTCATATTAAATTAAGCGCTCACAGGGTTCATACAGGAATGAGTGACTCTAATTTAATGCTATTTTAATGCTATTTGAAATGATTTTAATGCCATCAACAAGAACCATGTACACAAGTTATTAGTGTACATGAAATATGAAGGAACTGTAAGCACAGTTCCATGACTCCTGTATGTATGTAAAAACACACACATATATATGTATATATATATCCTCTAGCTTTTGCTCCGCCTGGAGCGATATAATATATCTGACGAAATTGTTTTTATAAGCATTTTTTATTAAAGAATTATAAATACTTCGATAAACATATTTAAATAATTTTAGTGCCAATTAAGGCCTTGATTTAAAAAAAAAAAAGAATGATTTTTTAATAATTTTTATTTATCCGCGGAAACCCTGGTTCATCTCCCGCATGCTCTTTACGATCTCCAAGAAACTCAGAGCGGCGCGGTGTGCAGCTACAGTGGAGGATGGATGCTTTGCTTTGTGCAGGCGGTCTGGAGCGGAGTATGTGGGATTTCAGGGTAAAACTCCTCTTGGACGCGATGGCGACTCTGCATCGAACAAGACGAACTCAAAGAAGAGATGCTAGCGGTAAATATATGTTTGATTACTGCCTGCTAGGCTAAAAGCAGCCTAGCCTAAGCTACGGCTAATAGCAGCCTAGCCTAAAGCTACGGCTAATAACAGCCTAGCCTAAAGCTACGGCTAATAGTAGCCTTGCAAGAACAAGCATTATTAAAGTGTATTTTTTGTGATTCACAGGAAGCAGTACGCCGTCTTCACAACTCGGAGACTAATTGCAGGCGCTATGAACCGGAGCAAGGGTAAGATTTAAAGAATATGCTTTCATTCTGCGGTAAAAGGAAATGGATACCGATCATAGCTGTACATTTTGTTTTCACAGACCTCTTATTTGCTCGGAGCCATATCAGCAAGTCCAGATTTGCACGATGTTGATAAAGACGACATTGTGTGTAAGTGACTTGTTCTAATTTTTTCTCCTTCCTTGTTACTGTGACTTGCGTTTGATTTTTTTATTCATACCACTCTCATTTAATTGTTTTCCAGCTGCCTGTAAGACGTATTTTCAGACGGTACGCAGGAGCTTCAGATATACGCTGCCAGCCAACACGCTGCGTGCGGAGGCTGCCAAGCAATCTGCTCGGAGTCGGGCCAGAAGACAGAGGGTAAGACTTTATTTAGTGACTATTTTTCAGGTGCATTAATTGATGTGTTGTGTCCATACGCAGTGCGCTGATTCATTGCTTTTTTTTCAGCTGCTGAAAGCGAGGCAGAGTGTGCTAGCAGAAGGGGAAGTGGAACTCTGGAAGTCCGCCACCGTCGAAGAAGATGGCGTCGTTGGCGGTGTCTCTGGATGGATTGTACGGTCGCCGCCATTTCGTAGGCCGGATCTCACTGAACTCTGTGTTAAGCTGCAGTCCCGGTTAGAAGCAATGCCGAAGTACAGGGCCACGCACAGTAGGCGTCTGCACATCGGACCTGCCTCGGAGGGAATGCTGCCAGTTACCTCCAACCCCGAGGAAGCAAACGGACCGTTCACGGAGTTGTAATTTTTAGATACGCATGTGTTTGGATACGCGTTGTATATAGTTGTGTGTGTTTTAATAAAGCTCTTTCTTTGCATAAACAGCTTCCTGGCAAATGTTCATTTCCTGTATAAATTCATTCATGTCCTTGATGGTAGCCTAATAATTGTGTAGTAGTATAGGATAACATAAATACACAGCATATGAATGAATAAATATATGAATGAATGAATATATGAATGAATAAATATATATTCATAAATGTATATATATATTTGTAAATTTATATGTAAATATATATATATGCCAACCAATCACGAGCGACTTTACTTGTTTAAAAAGAAGTGGTTCCGTCCAATACTCAGTAAGAAAATTAAAGCCTGGCGTGGCCACGTTTGCTTTTGCTGCCAATCACGAGCGCTTTTACTTGTTTGAGAATAGTGGTTTCAGCCAATACTGAGTAGGTTATTCAAGCCAGACCTGGCCAGCCGCGCGGGTTTACTGCATTCATATGCTAATTAGGGCCATTAGTACAGCTGATCGCTCTCCACATACGTCAGAGTCCGTTTCCGACAATTTGTGGCACGACAAACGCGGACAAGCGCGGATAGCAAATTGTCGGAAACTGACGAAAATCAGGGAGATCTGCGGGAGTTTACGGGGGTTTACGGGGACGAAAATCTCACTTTTCATGCAGTGAAAAGAAAAAAAATAAATTTAATTACCTTGTAGCTGTGGCGTTCAACTTGTAGCTATACACCTTAAATTATTTTAGAACCAATAACCAACGGTTTATACCCAAAGGGAAAATGTCACTGATGAGAAGAAACAACATAATCCAGCTGCAAAAAAAAAAAAAAGATTCCAGGAGCTTAAATGATGTGATATGTAACCAGTTGAGGACAATCAACAAAAAGCTGGGATATTATCTAAATAGAACAGGCTGAGAACGAGTGGGTATAAAAGTTGTTTTGCAACTGAAAGGTCAAGAGTTTAATTCCATCTTCCCCTAACACTGTTTACTCCGACACATTGATATATGAACCCTTTCAAGTACCGCATGTTGAATACCAATTTTTGCATTGATGTAAGAATGTGTGAGCATTAGTGCACTTTATACTATAGTGTAAAGTGCTTTGAGGGGTCAACATCTCTAGAAAAGCCATCTATCTGTTCTTTTTTCAGCTAGTCCTATAAAGTAGTCAAAGACATATTTCATCTTAATATTTGAATTAGATTATAAGTGTAACTCTGATAACAAAAGTTGAATAACTGTCTTGAAAGTTAAAAGCATTAATTTGGAGACATCAAGTCATGATGAAAATGCATGGAGGAAAACATTTAAGTTGCTCTTACACAAGCTTTGTACTTCTTGTTTATATATATATATATATATATATATATATATATATATATATATATATATATATATATATATATATAAAACATATTTTTATATATTCTTTTTTTTTTATTAAACAGCCAACTTAACATCTGCAAAAGAAATTGCAGTGCTCTATGAGCACCCATTCAAAGTTGATTATCAATCTAATTTTTTGACAGTAGGCTGACAGGAAAAGGAGTATGAGAGAGAGGAAGAGACATGCGAGAAAGGACCGCAAGCCGGATTCAAACACAGGTCGCCCACGTCGAGGACTAAGGCCTGCATACATGCGTTGTGCACGCTACCCACTGCACCACCAAAGGCATTATATATTGATAATGTTATTACAAATAGTAGTAGTAGTATTCCCTGTGTTAGAAAGATGAACTGATGTTATGTTTACATTTAAATATATTTGTGCAAAGCATGTAAAGCGGTTTCGGATATTGGAATAATCTGATTAAAGGTGGTTGTTGGTTAATGAACATGCATGAACTCTCGTCTCTAGCCATAAATATTTCCTTGTCTTTCATTTCTACAACTAAGAGCTTAGTTAGTTAGTAAGTTAGTTAGTTAGAATCACTTCATACTGACAGTTGTTTACATCAGTTGCTAGACAAAAACAACTGAAACTACTACTCCAATCTATATAAAAAGTCTATGACACAGTTTCACTGAGTATAATAAATGGTTAAACAATTTTAAATGATTATTTATCCATTTTCCACATTGTACTACAAGGAGTAAAAGCTCCGACACAGCATGTAGTCAACCATGTCAACTGTAATTTATGAACATGTAGATTAGAATTCTAAGCTTGCACCACAGAGTTTTTGCATATTTAAATCACCTTCCATGCCTACATCCTTCTTCTACTAACTGCTTTGCATATCTCTAAATAAAGAGGAATTTTAAAAAGAACACACCAAAGACTTCTCTGTGCCATCTGCTGGTAAAATAGTCAATTACATTTCTGCATATTTACAAAAACAGACCAAAAAATATATATTTTTATATATTAAAATGGGAAAAAAAATTTCTCTAGAAGCATACATTGTTTTTCTTTTCTTGCCTACCTGTATTTTTTAACCTAATTTAAACTTTCTGTCTGCTTCACTGACAACAACTGTCACTTTACACAACGTCTAAAACCAAACAGTACACAAACTAAACAATGGCCTCCCACGGCCAGACAATCATGCAGAAGAAGAAATGAATACTAAGTAATAGTGGACAATCCTGTCTGTGTTTGTGAGGACTTGTTGAGGGATGTCTGCCAAGGGGGTTCCCAGGAGATTTTCCTTCAGAGAACAATGCCGTTTTTGGCTGAGTATTTGTTCTTGTCAATCATCTGTCAGACGACCACAGAGATCAACCAGCCAACAGCTTGAGTCAACTGCAGATTATGATGAAAAAAGTACTCCCCCATCCACTACTGCTCCAAAACTCCCAAACAAAAGGAGGTGAAGATGAATGAAGGATGGTACAATGATGATCAGATATTTACATTTTAGAAATTGTAATGTTTGAATTTACTTTTTTACCCTTCTGTCTGTATATACTATCAGTAAAAACATGTTTTTTTAGAATTCGAAGCAAGTTTGGTTCAGATCAGTGTGTATTTTTTGTGCATTTGTCCTAACAAATGTATTGAAATCTGAATTTTCTACCTGTCCTTAATGTACAACTCAATTAATAGCACCTGCTTGTTTTTCTGTTGATTATACTCAGCTGTTTTCCATGTTTCTAGTCATCTCCCATCCATCCATCCATTTTCCATTACGCTTATCCCAGCTGTCAATGGGCGAGAGGCGGCATACACCCTGGACTGGTCACCAGTTTGTCGCAGGGCAAAACAGAGACAAAAAGTACAAACAAGCATTCATGCACACACTCACACCTAAGGAGAATTTAGAGAAGCCAATTAATCTAACGCTCTGTCAGAAGGCTCAGAACGTAGGACCCACATTCAGATAAGACAGGCGTTGAAAATTAAAGAGTGTTCATTGAAAACTGTATGCGGCTGCTCGTCAGCTGGGCCCAGCGGGCTCATTGGAAACGCTGCGGGGGCAGAGACCCAGGTCAGTGATTTCAGAACTGAAACGACAATGAGCATGAAGTCACCAACCGGTCAAAGTTCAGTCCTAGCTCAGAAGAATGGTTGAAAACCAGGGGAGCTGAACTCCGTATTTTTAAACTGAGCCGATACCAGAAGAGAAGAGGAGCAGTGACCAGCAGCAGCCAGAACACGCAGAGGAACCGACAAATCCAGAGGAGCAAATCCAAGCCATAGTCAGAAGAAAGGTAGGCAACCAGCAGAATCCAGGTAATAGTCCAGAAAACGTGACAGGAAAAAAAAACAGAGCAGAACAGGGGCGGCTAAAACCAAGAAGTCCAGGGGCAGAAACAGGTCAGAATCAGACAGAACTAAGCACATACAGAAATGCTAGAATTAGTCCCATTAGAAGCTCAAATAATCTGGCACCAAAGGCTGGGCATACAGTAACTGTTAGCAGGAACAGGTGGATCTGATGGGAGATAATGAGCATAGGGTGGAGCAAAGCAGCTAAGAGAAACAGGGGTAAAACCTGCAGGCAGTATGATTTACAGCTGGCTGCATGGCAACAGTAGCTTTGCCTTATATTTTAAATGGATTTCATAGAGAATCACTACAGTAGAGATCAAACAGCATGAAGAAGTGTATTCAAAAGATGTGCTCTGTGTAAAAGTGAATGGCTTGAAAAATGACAAGGGGACCTTTAAAAGGTTCTGGAAAAACTTGATGAACAAACCACAATAAAAATCTAGAAATATACAATTTTGTAAAGATATACACAAATGAGAACTTTTAACAGCCAAAGTTATGAACCAGAAAGTATCCAGAGACCCAGAGTCCCTTTTTTAATCTCCAAATTATAATTAAGAAATAAAAACAACCACAATGAAATCATAGTGACAGTAATATTTTTGATATACTGACTCAGACAGCAGTCGGAACGTTTCAAAGGGTGTTGATGGCGAACAGACTGTCTCCATTTCCTCACACAAATCTGTTTCATATGTGCAATGTTCTGGAAGAGGAAAACACAACACTTACACAGGAGGTTGGTAATATGACTGCTGCTCTGCTAAAAGTGTCTTTAGTGAGAAAATGTTTTCTCTACTAGGCATTTATTTCCAAATGAGGAGGGACATAACTGACTGAATGATAATTATTAATTAATTATTTAAATAGAGGTGGTACACATATCAAAATTGAGACCCCTGGTGAGAGAATCTGTTCACAAGACAACCATCAAGTCCAAAAGTCTGACCTTTGTGGCACACAAAATAGTTGAAGAAAGAATTCAAATCCTGGGTCTAATTTATAATGCCTGTGTTTGCACAAAACAGGGCCTGAAAATTGTGTGTGCCAACTTTCTTTCAAAAGTTCTGATTTATCAAAAACAAACTTGCCGTAAAACTGCATGGCCCCTCATGCAAACTCTGACCCATCCGTACAAGTATACATTTTGGAGAGAGGGCAAATGGTGACTGAGGCTAAACTGAAGCCAAATTCCATCATCTGAAACCCCAGTGTGATACATGTTGGTACAAATGGGTCCTGTCACAAAAAACATTTTAAAAAAACCCAAACACATTTCCTTACCATCAAATTCCTCTTCTCAGTGATAAAGTCTTACCACAGATCAATATACTATAGTTTGAGGATTTAAATTGCTGTAAACACTTAATACCACCAAAGTCAGCCATGCACAGTGGTGGTTGATGGAAGATTTAACTATGCCAGAGACTTAGAAAAAATAAGAATCAGGTGGGAGCACATTTTCAGGGATTATTAATGTTTCCTGACCCAGGATGATGATTGGCTATGAGCTGATCAGACTCCATGAATCATTGTTCTGACCCACGTCATTCAGGCTTATTACAAATATTAAACAGGTGAAGGTTAGTGGGCATAACTCCATTGTAGAAAAAAAAGAAAAGGGTAGCTGGGTAGACAAGACCAGGAAATATAGAAAAAAAAACAATCCATGGTACATATAGAATTTGAGATCTTTTCATGAATTATAGGTATGGTAATAATGTTAAATATGGGTAAAAAAAATGAACAAAGCTTCATGACGCCACCAGTTTATTAAAGATCCAAAATAATCAATGAATGATTGGAAAATATCTGAATAAAAAAAACTTTAGCCTAAACACGACGAGTTTGCCCATATTAAACATTATAGATGCTCCGCTTAGCCAGGTCTGTTGGGATCTGGAGCGGTACCATACGTCTCCAGCAGAGTGCGCCGTGGATCCTCCTGAAGCTGAGCCTCCAACACACCTGAGGCGCATCTCGTCATCAGGAGGACCTGCAGTATATAACCGGCCTTCAGACCTTGCCTCAATGCCGCAGTGTTGATCCAGTTTGGTTAGCACCTAAGCCTAGAACTTCCTGAGAATCTCTAGTGATCTCCCTAGTGATCAGTCTCTCTTCTAACTTTCGTTGTCTATGCTTCACAGGAAACCTGTTCCCTTGGAAGCTCTGGATGAGCTTAACCTGCCGAGCCTGCCCTCAGAGCCAAACCTGAAGACTCTCCTCTGGATTCCTCTGCAGCTCTTGGCTAAGAGCTGGAAACCAAAACCCAAGGTCTGCATTCAAGTTAGAAGTAAGACGCTGAAGCGGTTATTGAACTCTGCTGAACAAATCAGTCTCTGGACCCAACAGTTCCTTCCTCAAAGAGAAACCCGGACTCCTCAAGGTAATCTTCTGAAACTTCCAAACGCTAACTCCTCAGTGCCAACGCTAACTGAACTGTCATCCTCACAGACTCCAGTGAACCAGTCCCCGGCCAGAACCAGTTCTAGTTCACATAATTCATGTGCTTGTGTTTTTAATAAACATTATTAAACTTTCCATCTGTTTCCGTGGTGTTCTGCATATTGGGCTTCTCTGAGAACCAATCATGACAAGGTCACTTGGGTTTGTTTTATTAATCAATTAATTAATTACGGCTGTTAACAACTATCTGGTTCAGGTCTACTCTTACCAGCATAAACCTTTGTTGAACATAATAAAAAAAAATGTATTGATTCTCTGCCTTAAGATACTTTTACATACCAGGAAATCATTAGGTGACTTTATCAATCAAGTTGAGATATTACAGTAAACTATGAGAGCACCTCTGCCTGGATGCCCTTATTAATATGATCAGTCTGCATCAGACTGCAGATAATATTAAGTTGCTGCAAGACAATTAAAACTTGGATACACATGTAACTTCCATCAGAAAAATGAACATAAACCAAATTAACGATGCAGCGCAGCAACTTACAACTGTGATGGAACCATTACAACTCTGATCAAAAGAGTTGATATTGTTGGTATTTACTGATATTCGTTAACCTCTCACTGAGCCATAAATCCTGAAGTGTTCAACTG